CATCCACTGATATTAGTTTAATTTTGTCACTGTATCGACCATCGTGACATCCGCAGTAAAATGATGAGAATTTTCCAACATGCGGGCAAAAACCCAGAATGATCAACGCTACTGTTGCGTTAATGATTCTCTTATCCTGAGGTGCTCGAATTTTCGACGATCCACAAGTCTTGCGAATGAAATGAGGTCCAATTAATATATGAGATTTTAAATGATGATGATTTCAGCAGTTCATGTTGGAGCGAGAACTATTTTTACTGTCCACGATGAAGCCTATTCAACTATTTCATTTAACAGTCAAACATTACCCTATTAGGGTCAAATACCAATTGACAGTCAGTTTCGATTACAGCTTATCCTTTTGGATCGAAGAGAAAGGTCTCAAAATATTTTCAATCATGTGACAGCATTTGAGCTTTGACAGAAGGCAACCACTGTACAGATTAGAGTCCTTCAATACACGTGGCCCAGGTTAATCTTGGCTATCCCAGGGTGTTCAGCCGATCGGTTTGGCAAGTAATAGGTTCAACTTATTTTTTCAAAGCATTCGTAAGGTGTGCCCAAACTATCGACTTTTGACTTCTTACTCTGGAAAAACAGAAATGGACTGGAGTGCTCTATTCATCGGGACATTACCTTATTCGGCCTCCCGGAAAAAGTACAAATACTCGAAAACTTTGGAAAAGAAGGTGCCGCAGAATAATCAACTCTAAGATACGAGAGCAATGTGCAATCAAGTTATTAAAAATTATTAATGAAGAATAGGGAGAAGGCGATCCAGTCGCGAATTTCAGCAAATGTCCTAGAACACAGGATCTTAACCATGGATAATTCCCCTTCCCCTTAGGGGAGAATTCTAGGATTTCAGGAGGAAGGAGGTTGAGATTAATAGGGAGGGATTACAATATAGATCTTTCACAAACTACAGTTCTACCGACTGAACATAATCTACAGGACATCACATTGTCAGATTAAATTAAAAAATAAAAATAAATATTTCACTTTTTATCTGTAGAAATATTCCATTTAAAGTCATATTTGACTTTTATTGCTTTTTATTCACAGATTTTGGAGCCCATCATGAGTGTCAAAAAAGAGAAACATGATCCCTAGCATCATGGAGCCGTGCTTAAATAGTCCCTAGGCATCTAGAAGCAAGGGGCGATGGAACATTGCTGGTGTAAAGCGAGAAACAGAATTTTCTTTCGTTGCACTGTGCACTTTCGCCATTTTAATCCAGTATCATTATTTTAATATGATATCTTCAGCTGTGGAATCGAAAGGTCCCCAAGAACATCGGCATTATATTTTGCTATTCCTTCGCCTACGGATCATGGCAATCGCGTTTGAATACAACTTTGTTTGAGATACGTCCTATGTACTGCAGGCGCTTAAATACCGTTGTTTTCCTTAAATGGCCCTTTTAGGCGTCTAGAAGCAAGGGGGCGTTGCAATAATGCTGCTGGTGTAAAGTGAGAAATAGATTTTTCTTTTATTAGACTGCATTTTCGCCTTTTCAAATCGGTATCATTATTTTTAATGTTATTTTCGCCTCTATTCTAGATTTATATTTATATGTAGTCGTTTGATTAATCACATTCTGGAGGAATCTTCCACCAACTTATACTGAAAGGCCTAAATCCGTATACCTATGTTTTAAGCACTAAAATTTAATTCAGCTAACTGCCTGCACGCAAAAATCTTCAGGTTATCATGGCATCTTATTCGATACGGTACCGAGCTGCGCGTATAAAATAATATATAAAATCTCTACGTTAGACGAAATGCGTTAATCGAATTATTGTGGTTCTGTCCAACATGAAAATATGCCATAAAAGATTAAAACTGAATAACAGACACGAAAGGTAGCACTAATATAACAGCAAAGAAAAACTAAGGAACACCAGACAACATACACTTGCGCCAATCATGAAGATAGTAAAACAGAACAAGCACCAGGGTGAGAAGACCCCGAAAAGTTTATTCTGATATTATTCTGACAAGCAAATGGCCATCCACCGGCAAATAAACAAGCGAACTAGAAAAAAATTCACGTCGTGTGGACTGCATACGACGAGGAGACTTTTTAAAACCATTCATAATATGACCTTACATATATCAAATCAGACCTCAAACGAAATTTAACAGTCTTAACGAATAACGGAAAACTTACTTTCGGTGTAAATATCAGAGATGTTAGACTTCTGAAGAAACCCCAAACACCCTTCAACAAGCGAACAGAATCGCTTAGAAGCACACGCCTATCGACGCGTTAATTCTCAGGTAACAATCTCCATGAAATACAGTACAACCGTTACCTCGATGTGTTATAAAACAGAAGTCTTAAATGCAAGAATATTTTATTTTCTAGCATATACTAAAAATATATTCGAATTGCGACTGACACATAAACAATGGTCAACCGAAATAAAAAAATTATGATACCATACGTAACCGGAAACTAAAAACTCGACATTGCCTTAGCGTAATTCCACCGAACGCAAAATTTATTATAAACACATTCTCCAAGTGTTTTGTCTTATGCTCGATCTGTCTTCAAAACGCACTGTAGTATGGACACGATTTTGCAGTATACGTCAATGCATTTAAGTACAAATTCCACCATGAGCATCTATCGTAGAATTGCTTCATAAATTCATTCCACTAAGAACTTAGTTCCATAATGACGTCATCATTATGCGATGGATTGATTGTATTACCAACGCTTCTTTTATCTTGTGACTTAAAAAGTTTCGCGCTCAGTGCCCTTCTTTCACATGGTCCCATGATATGGAGTGTTGTTCTTGTACTCCATTTTGAGTAGCTGTCGAGTTCGTTTCGCATTCATAGCTTGTCGCCTGCGGAACTTTTGTTTTTCTTCGCCCTTTATCTTTCTGCGCTTGTGCATTCTGAGGTAAATCAGCGTTGCGCCATTTAGTCAAGTTACTGAGTTCCTTCTTTATCTCTTCCTTGATGTTTCCGGTTTCTCTTATGTAATTCAGATCACCCTACCAAAAGGGATGCAAATGCAGCCTCTTTGGCTTTGATATGCGTTGGCTGGCTGCGTAATTTTGTTTGGATTTGAATATTAGCCGTACTCATTGAGGATGGATCGAGCATGAGCTGAAAGTTGCGGAACGTACATATAATGAGATTATAAAGCTTTCGAGTTTTCAACC